AACATTCTGGGCTCAGCCCAAGCCGTGTATTCGTAAAGCTTGGGTATGGCTCTCATCTAATCCCCTCATCTGAAGAAATAGAAACAGCACTTATACCCTTTGATAAATAATATTCTAAAATGGGCACAAAGTTATATAACAATATACATTCTTTTAATGTTCATATTTAGAATCAGATTTGTGACTTAAAAATATTCCATAAATCTATGGTGGTTTCCTTAAAAATTTCTCCAGGAAGAATTATAAATTTAATAATGGCATGTGGTCCTGAAATTTATTTCAGAGCTGCATGTAAATGAAGAAATAAACCTTGCAATGGCGGGTTCTAGTCATTTCTCTACATCCTTTGCCAACCAAAGCTAGGGGAAAGCCAGTCCTGGCACCAAGCAGTCCCCCTGAGGAACTGCAGAAAGCAGTGTGGCCAAGCTGCAGTAGCTGCGTCCATGAACGTCATCCCTTTCCTGGAGGTCAGCAGGATCAGAAAAGCAGAGTATGGGAGGGGTCACTGAGTACAGTCACCCGGAACCTATTATCTGCCACGTTGGCTTCTAGGAGCAATGGGACGTCTAGGTGACTTGTTTTTATATTAGCTGTTTAAAATCTCAGGAGGCGGTCTAGAGAGACAACCCAGCAGTCAAGGATCCTTATTCCTCTTCCAGAGGGCCCAGGTTCAAGTTCTATCACCTACATGGCTGCTTCACAAACTATCTGTAACTACAGTCCACAGGGGATCAAATGCCCTATTCTGGCCTCTGCAGGCATAGCACACACATGGTGCATCACACACACACAGGCAAAACATTCACACACATAAAAATAAAGTACCCCCTGTTTTCTCCCTCTTCCGCTATCTATCCCAGTGGCCTTTCTCAATGAGGACTGAGCAGCTGACCCAGGGTCCTCCTTCTTGCTTAGCTTCTTTAGGTGTACAGACTTCTGTAGGTTTATCCTATATTATATGTCTAATATCCACTTTTAAGCGAGTATACACCATGTGTGCCTTTCTCCTTCTGGGATACCTCACTCAGGATCATCTTTTCTAGTCCCTACCATTTGCCTGTACATTTCCTGATTTTCTTGTTTTTAATTGCTGAGTAGCATTCCACTGTCTACATGTATCACAATTCCTGTATCCATTCCTCAGTTGAGGGACATCTGGGTTGTTTCCAGGTTCTGGCTATTATGAATAAAGCTGCTATAAATGTGGTTGAGCAAATGTCACACAGGGCCTCTGAAAGACGACCCACCAGGGTATTAAAGCAGATGCTGAGACTCATAGCCAAACATTGGGCAGAGTGCAGGGAATTTTATGAAAGGAGGAGACAGAAAGAGAAAGACCTGGAGAGGACAAGAGCGCCACAAGGAGAGCAACAGAATAATAATAATAATAATAAAAATCTAGGCACAGGGGTCTTTTCTGAGACTGATACTTCAGCCAAGGACCATTCATGGAGATAATTTAGAACCCTTGCACAGATGTAGCCCATGGCAGCTCAGTGTCCAAGTGGGTTCCCTAGTAAGAGGAACAAGGGCTGTCTCTGACATGAATTCAGTGGCTGGCTCTTTATTCACCTCCCCTGTGTTGGGGGCAGCCTTACCAGGCCACAGAGGAAGACAATGCAGCCAGTCCTGATGAGACCTGATAGGCTAGGGTCATATGGAAGGGGAGGAGGACCTGCCCTACCAGTGGACTGGGGAAGGGGCACAAGAGAAGAGAGAGAGAGGGCAAGATTGGGAGGGGATGAGGGAAGGGGCTACAGCTGGGATACAAAGTGAATAAATTGTAATAAATAAAATAATAAATTAAATAAATAAAATCTCAGGGGGAATAAATGGCCTGATTCTCATCCATTAGCTCTTCAAGGCTGTCTCACAACTTAATTGATTTAACATATTTTTCATTTAGAATCAGATTTTTTATGAGGTTTTGAGTTTTGCAACATTTCAGAACAACTTTGAATACACATATTACAAGGACTAATTGCCAAGATTTTTTTCCCTTTTTGTCGTGCTATAATTGATATCATCTCTGTGGATGAGCGATAATCAATGCTCTCAGAGTAACATTCAAAACAGTCCCATAAAATAAAATCTACTTGTCTGCAATAAGTCTCCATCTGTAATGAATGGCACACCATACTCCTAAGAAATACTATTAAGACATTATATGACTCCACCATCAAAGAAGTCAAGGAGAAGAGTTCCAGTTAGCTGGATATTCTAACTGACCTTCAACAATATACAAATTATGAATGTTTTCCACAAACATTTCTTGCCCTCTGATATGTAGCACGTGCTTTCTTTCAATGCTTTTATAGGTTATAGAATTTAGTGGCTACAATCAAGGTACAGTTATTTTCAAAACTCTATGAGGTTTTGAAATGTAAATTTGCACTCAGTACAATTTCATATTATTGAAATTGTTATTATTCTATTATTCTTGCTATTATTCTCAGTTTACCACCTTGACTGCATTCTTTAATGTTGGACATTCACTGACAATGGGGTGGATGAATCCAAAGCCTTATTCACAGGGAATAACTGGTTTTTCCATTCAGAAATGGACAATATTTGCATAGGGGTTACAGGGGTTAAGACAGGGTCTCATGTAACCAAGGCTAGTCTCAAGCTCACTAACGACATAGTCAAGCATTGACTTGAAATCCTGACTCCAGGCCTTTGTCCCAAGCATGATGATCATAGATGTGTGGCTCCATGCTCAACAAATAGTACATTTTTTAAAAGTTGTAAATTAATACTTTCTTTCCATAACCCTGAAAGTACGGCTTTAAATATTAATTATTGAATAAAAACTAAAAACCTCAGTTCTAGCTGTTGGTTCTATATATCAACCACAGTTCTGTCTACTTGGGACAGTCTAGAATTTGAATTCGATTTCCTAGTATCCACACTGGTGATTGGGGTACATTTTACATGAACGTAGATAACAACAGCGGAGAAACGTGGGTGGTTTATGGGTGGTTTTAACATGCATGTTAGAGGAGAATCATGAAAATAGGTATTCCCTTAGCTAGAGGAATGAAGGGAATAGTTAATGCCCCTTCTAGTATGTGATGACAGCCTCAACTTTTGTAAGACATTTATGATGAAATCTGGAGCTCTACATTACATTACAAGCTCTACATTGTCCTTTCCACAGCCGCAATGTGGAAATCAAATTAGAAAAATATTCTGAGTCCTGACAGACACCTTGGCAGCTTTCTCCCTTTCCTGGCTATTCCTCTGCTCCTGTATCTGATGTATTCCTGGGTTTATTCTGCAGTACTGAGGCTGATATAAATGTGGGGTTGCTGGCGGCAGCCTTGTGCTTATATACCCACAGCTGGCCCAAGTGAGCTATCAGACCACGTTAAATTACTAGTCTTGGAGAAAGCAGATGTGATCTCTGTGCTGGGCTTAGTTCAAAATCACGTGTGTAGTATTTCATAAATACTACATGATGGTGGTGATTGTATACATAGAAGCCAAAAGCCAACCCCTTCCAGCATCACTGGGGCTTTCAGACTAGAGCTCCAGACCTCCAGACCTCCATCGTTCCCACAGTTACAACTTTCTTCTAAGTGAGTTAAAAAAGAAAAAAAAAAAATTCAGTTTAGATCTCAGAAGGATTCTCCAAAGTGGCCTAAGACAGAAGAAATGTACTAAATATAGTAGAGAGTAAAAAACACTGAAGGGTAAGGAACAGTTGAACAGAGGCTTGCAACAGAGCCTCTCTGGGGAGTCTATTCTGACATTCACGGGTCCTGGGTTTTGCCTGCTCAGCTGAAACAAATAGCTTGTACCAAAATAATAAAATCAGGTTACAAGCTATACACCCAAAAGACATGCTTAACTCAGTCATAGGATGGCAGGTTCTCACTATTCCAATTTTCCCCTTTTTTTAATGAAGGCAGCACTGACTCTCTCTTGGCTGTTGCGGCTAAAACAGATTTGAAAAACACGGGAAGACAGGCATAATCTAAAGCACTTAAGACTGTCAGCTTGGCTGCTCATTAGCATGACCCGAGGAGCTTAAGGCAGGGAGAGTTCTGAAGAGCTCATTTCATCTGGAGTGAGAGTCAGTCGCACATTGCTAAAGGATTTTCCCTGCAATACTTAATTGCAGCCAGGGCCTCAGACCACTGCAGTAAAAGTCGGCAATATTATTGTCTATGTTGTTTCATATTCTGTGTCACTGATTGCTAAATACGTGTTTTGTCCTGTTCTTTTTTCTTTTCTTTCTTTCTTTTTTTTTTTTTTTTTTTTAACTTTTCTCCGGACCTGTTGTTTCCAAACATAAGCAAAAGAATTTTCCTTACTCTAAGGTAGGGCAAGACAGGACAAGAGCTTGCTAGCACCACCTGGGTGTGCCGACTTTGTACGAAGTAAACACTGAGTGATCATCTTGATTCATTTAGGTGGCCAAAGACACTCTGAACTACAGGTATGCCCTTTCATTCTTCAGGGCCCTTGACTCTTCACAAACATACCAAAAGAAAACTGCTCCATTTGTCTTACTAGAAAACAGACAAGGGACTCTAGGCTTTTACATAGGTGCTCTATATCTTTTATAAAACGATACCCCCCCCCCCACATTAAACTGCTTAATATCACATTTTTGGATCTATTTCTGTACAATAACGTAAGTTCTCTGGAAAGCTTTCTGTTTCATAGTATGAAGACTAGTTTAACCTTCCTTCTCAGCTTTTCAAATCTACCTCCTGATGCCTTCTTGAGTTATTCCATGATTGTAAGCAATGCAAACCCAGTAATAACCTTTCAAAGTCAACCAACATCTGTCCAACACATACACACGTCTCTCCATAGAAGGTATAGCATCTTTCAAAAAAAAAAAAAAAAAAAACTGATACACAAACCACTCAGAACACTTTTTGTCCAAAATCGGTTTTAATTAGGCAGTAAAGTGTAGAATCCGCAGCATTATAAAAGAGCCCACCAGGAAAACTGCTGGGTGGAATAGAGCTGTGCCCCCACAGCAAGGCTTTCTGCAGTCCGGTCCTCCAGGGAGGGCCTCTCTGTCTCTACCTCTCTGCATCCACTTCAGGAATACATGGTCAGCTGCAGCCACTCTCGGATGGACACCTTAATCAGGCCATCCGCATCACGATCCAGAGCCTTGAAGGCGCGAAACATGGCATCCAGGCGAACCAGGCAACTGATGAAGTTGTTAAAATCCATAGCGCCATCCTCGTCAGCGTACCGTCGGACAATCATTAGGTAGAGTTGCTCATTTAGCTGGAAGCCTGCCGCCTTCAGAGCCCCGTGCAGCTGGGAGCCTTTGAGAGAGCCGGTATGGCCAGGGTCATACTGCTTAAAAACACACTGCCATTTCTTGATGTTGTTCCAGAAGTACTTAAACTCCTCAAAGCCCAGCTTCCCTGTCGTGTCGCTGTCCATGAGAGACACAATGCTCCTGCAGGTCTCAAGGCTGAAGCCCTCTGTCTTCAGATCCTTATGCTTAGAAAGGATTTTGTTGAGAATATTCATCAGGTCAGTGGCACCCACCTCCATGTCGGGTCCAGCCAGCTGTGCAAATTGCTGCCGAAACCGCCTGACTTCCTCGCTTTCGGAGGCCTCCACAGCGGTGAAGTGCAGCTGCTGCGGGGGAGGCGGCTCTGGGGTATACTGAACTGCCGCAGCCTCGCTGATAAAATTGACAATTCCTCCAATGATCCCTCCGATGTGGCCTCCTCCTCCTCTTCGCTGACCTCCTCCTCCCCTTCCTCCTCCTCCTCCTCCTCCTCCTCCAAGAAGGCCTCCAAGAGCCTCCCCAAGACCCCGATCTGCCCCTTCCAGGATCGCCTTTGCAAGAAACATGCTTGCAGGTTAGCGAGCACGTGTGAAAGCTGCTAAAATCCCGGAGAGGGTTTGGAGAGAGCAGCAATAGAGTCCACACATGTGGAAGAACTGGCTTTTCTGTACCTGCCTAAAACTGTGCCACACCCATGAGGAGATGCTTCACCTCCAACTGAAGTTGCTGCGTTCCGTTGGGTCCTAGCACCTGTCATATTTTCACCGGCCTCTAAGAAGTTATTTTTCCATGTGGCTAGATACCTCACATTCGAGTACCATTTTAAATGGAAAATAAGAAGCTATATGTTTCTATGGCATTGCTTCTTGAAATTTATGTCCAAAATAGGATGTAAATTTTTTCTCATGGGAGAAGATGAGCAGCTGAAAATGAACAACCTCTTTACCAAAGACTATTGTAAGGGTAGAATGGAAGAATTCTTGGGCACTTGAAGCAGATATTCCCCTTTCTTCCAGATTCCAGTTCTTAAGAAAAACTTGGAAGAGGATCTTCTTTAGTCAAGGTCTCCAGATTCTACCCTCAGAAGTTCTGATTCTGGAGGTCAGCTAAGGGGTCCATCATTAATACTTTTGGAATTTTTTTTTTGAGGTTAAAAATACTATAAATACATATGTCTTTACAGATCCCACAGTGCTATAGTCACAGGCATCTCTGAGCTGCTGATGTGAGTGTTGGAAGAGAATTCATCCCTTGCAAGAACAGAACACACTTGACTGCTGAACCATCTCTCCAGCCTTTGGTATTAATTCTTATTTAAATGTTTGCAGGAATTCATCAGTGAAGCCCTATGGCCTGGAGCCTTTCTTGTAAAGAAGATACTGATTTAGCTTCAAACTTACATTTTTGGGGCTAAAGATATGACGCAGCAGTTAAGAGCACATCTGTTCTTTCAGAGAACTAAGTTTGGCTTCCATCACTTATATTTGGTGACTCACAATCTCCTTTAACTCCATCTTCAGGGGATCAGATACCTCTTTCTGGCCTCTCTGGGCACTGTAGGCATGTGCACATAAACACAAACGCAGACACACAATTACAAATTAAGTAAAATATTATTTAAAAGAGGCTGAAACTGAGGTCTTCACAGATTCTCCTGAGTCTTCATGATTCAGTCATGGCAGGCCACATATTTTTTAAAATTTCTCCATTTTGTCTAAGTTATCCAGATGGATGGAATATGGTTGTTCATAGCACTCATTGTTATTTCTCTAAAGTTAACAGGTACAGTTCTTCTACCATTCTCATTAATCTGTGGGGCTTCCTTGTCTGTTTTTCTTCAATAGTGAATTCTTGAGATTTGATCATATATTTTTAGCAAGCATTTTCATAAGTCATGTGTGACAGGTTGGTCTCAGATAACACTCTGAGAAATCCTACCTTTGATACACTGCATTCAGAAGTTCTCTATAGGTCTTTGAAAGTTCTGTTGGTGCCTTCGGAGAAAGATGGTTAGATTATTATGTCATTTAAGAACCAGGGAGATAGCTGAGCTAGTAAAGTGTTTGTGGAGTGAACACAGGGACCTCAGTTTGGATCCCTTGAACCCACATAAAAAGCCAAGTGCCAAAGCATATACTGTAACCCAGCTCTGGGGAGGCAGTGACAATGAAATCCTGGGGCTTCCTGGCCAACCAGCCTGGCCAAATCTGTGAGTTTCAGACTCAGTGGGAATTGCTGTCTCAAAAAAGTAAAGTACAGAGTAATCAAGAAAGATATCAACATCAACCTCTGGCTATCCATGCCTGTGTGTGCACACACACATACATAAACATATACAGACACACACAGAGACATACACACACACATTTTCTCACTGAGTACCTGGGGAAAGGTTCCGATTTCAAATCTGAAAAAATGATAATAAGATTATCTTTCCTGCCTGCTTCACAATGATTCAATCTAATTTCTTAGGAGTTTGGACATGTGCTAGGTGGCTAGATAAAGGTAAATAAGACAGGATTTTGCTTGATTTTTGCTGCGCTCAAAATCAAGTAGACCATAAGGCCTAACTGTGAGTATAAGCTTGTGTCCATTTGCATATTTCTGTTATTAATACTCAACCATTATAATTTCATAGATCATAGGTTGGTATTACGGTTTCATAAAGACAAAAACATATTCCAGATAAAGAAAACCGCATAAAAGTTAGCACTTACTGAAGACTGTGCAGGTAATGTCTTTCATATTGCACTACCAAGCTAGCAGAGTTGCCAAGGGAGTGATGAATTCTGCTAAAACAAAGGAAAGGAGAGCATAATCTATGGAAGAGACAGTGCATATGCCTGGCTACTGGAGGAGTTGTTCTCTAAATATACAAGAGGATAGTGTAGTATAGACACAGGAAAACCAAGGGATGCTAGGTACTCAAGGGGTGATAAGAGTGCTTATAAGAGTGAAAATGAAGAGAAAAGAAACAAATCAGAACTGGAACTGGAAAGGACTTTGGACAGAGTCCATCTGCTACGCTACTGCTGAATCACCCATAGGTCCGAGTGAAGTCAAGAGGAGAAGAGATGTAAAATTACCATGCGACTGTACAAGTCTAGGACAATGAATACACTAGCTATTCGGAAGAGAATGGTAGCTAGAGGCTCTCAACCTCTCCCTCACCACACAGCCCAAGAAAGCCTTGAAATTCCACACCTCCTGCTTCAGCCCTGGAATGTTGGGATTATAGGTAGAAGCCACCACACCCAACTAACATTATTTCTTTACTTACTGGATATGGGAACAGTGTCTTCAACGTTCTGTCTCTTTTTAGTCATACCCAATAACTAGCCTTATTTCTCATGGACACAATAAAATTACTTCTATGAACACCCAAGGACAAAACATCATCTGTAGCTGTGTAGGGGAAAGTACTCAGAAAAGATCACCTTCCTTTTCAGAGACTCATGGAACTCACGGTGTCTCATACAGACTGAAATATATTCACAGAAGCCTGTTTAAGAGAAAGGGGCATTAAAAAGAAATGGGCTTTGCTTTTTATGTTTTTTTTTAATTTATTTTTATTTTACTTTATGTGAATGGGTATTCTATCTGCATGTATGTCTTTGTACCTCATGGCATGCAGAGCCCATGGAGGCCAGAAGATGATGTCAGCTCTCCTGACCCTGGAGTTCAGTTGTGGGTCACCCTGTGGGTGCTGGGAATAGAACCTGGGTCCTCTGGAAGAGCAGCCAGTGCTCTTAACCACTGAGCAATCTTTCTAGATTTTTTTAATGCTGCAAATTAACCTGATAGCAGCTAGTTTCATATTCAATGTACCTCATTTTACATGTTGTTTTGTTACTTTGCTACACTTTAAATTCCTCTCATTTATTTTGTGTAAAGAAGGAGATTATCTGAACAACAGTTTGTTATAAGTCATCATAGAATAAAATGCTGTTATTAGATGAATAAGTCTGTTCTTCAATGGACCATTTAATGTTCAAGAACATTTATAACAACGTGAGTTACTATGTGGGAGGAAACATCACTGCAGAAGCCTGAAGGAAAAGGATAGAACAGGTCACACCTAATGGAAAACATAGTTCCAACCTGGGGAAAAATGTTACTGAACTTAAAGAGAAAAACAATGATACACAAACACTATTCATAATATTATTTTTAAGCGCCCCAAATGAAAACAACCTGAATATCTTTGGTGAATGGATATTTGATATAAACAAATGACATTCATAAACAAAATGGAATTAATCACTACATGGATGAATCTCAAACTGTGTTAACTAAAGAAACCAGACAGAAGGAACTAGATGTTGTGACATTCTAGTTAGGTGAAATGTCCAGAAAACCCAAATGTATAAAGACAGAAAGCAGATTAGTGGCAGCCTAGGTTCTAGGAGAAAAGCATGGAACAAAAAATTATAGTTAATGACACATGGAATCACATGAGGTTGATGGAAATGTGCTAAAACTGATTGATGGTGATGGTTGCATAATTTGGTAAATAAATTGAGGGAAACTATAGTGAACTATATTTGTGAAATAATACACTTGTAAAACATGCCACAAGAGGGTAAGTTTTTTTAAATCCACAGGAACAGTTTGCAGCAAAAAGAACATGAAACTTTTAGTCTCCATGTGCAATAAGCTAGCTCTGCGGCCATAGGTGGAACTTCTTCTCTTGGCCCAGCAGCTTAGTGAAAAATGAAGCGGCAATTAATTTGATACCAATGGTCTTGGGTTCTCTACTTGTACTCATCTGGATCTTCATGTGTCAGGTAACAGTGACAGCAGCAGCATTCTTTAGTTTAGTTTTCTTCTGGTACCTACACCTCTTTATGTTGTGTGTGTGTGTGTGTGTGTGTGTGTGTGTGTGTGTGTGTGTGTGTTTAATTTTCTGTACTTTGAACCTGGTTCTAGTAATGTGAAAGACCTATTACTAACTCTTAACCCTATGTTTATGCATATGTACTCAGTACATTACTCCTCTAAGTAGGACTTCAAGGTCACAGGGAGGGGCTGAGTCTACAGTAACTGAGAATTCCCAATTTCCATCTAAGGTAAAATCTTTCTGTCAGGTGTGACTTTAGCTCCTGCAACATGATATGGAATAGACATTTTGAATTTGGCAATAATTTGTTGATCAGAATGTAATATTGGATGAAATAAAAAGCATTCCTAGAGTTCATGTAGACAGTATCAAGTTTTCTCTTATGTGGGACCCTCACTCTGTCCAGGGAGGGCATGAAATTGGTCGAACACAATCTTTTCTTTATGAAACTTGTTCTTTGCTTTCCTCTGGTCTCGGGGGAGCCCCGAATTGCTCACTTGCTGCAGTGAGGAAGTGTGGATTGCTGCAGGCCCTCTTCTGTTTCAGAAACTAGACCCCCAGGTACCCATGCATAATTCTTATGTCAGGGTACATGTTTGTAGATGAAATGAGAGAGCCAAGTCAGCCTAAGAATTGGAAAGAAATGCTCAGGCATACAGGACTGCCAAACTTTCAAAGACAATTGAGTAGGAAAGTTCAACTATCCCACCTGGAAGTTTTAGCCTT